CAGCCTTCCTGCTCCTCTAATGCTGCTTGGCCTGCTGTGTTCATCCAGCTCTACATCTTGTTATCATAGATCTCCAGCATCGGCAGTTCCCACTATCTCTAATTATACAACTAATTTGTTTGCCACTTAGAAAAAGTTTGTGCACTGATTTACTGAAAGATCAAAACTCAGACATTCTGATTTCCATATTCATCCCAAAGATAACTCAACAAAGTTAGCACAAAAGTACAGAAATGTTGAAAATACTCAACAGATAAAACAGTGGAGACAGAAACAGTTAATGTTTCAGAATGATGACCTCAGTTCTTACGATCACAGTTCTTCACATTTCTCACATCATTACCCAAAAGAGGGGAGGAAACAGAGGTGTGAATCAGGTCATAAATGTTTGCAATACAGGGTTATGGAAATCATATCTTGATATCTTCAGTAGGCAAATTTTCGAAAGGATCTAGTGGTACCAAATTAGAAGAGTTTTTAATATGTAGTCAGGTTTAATTATTTTTCTAATCAACCTGCTCAGAGTATTATGACACACCTCTGGAGTTGGTGGAACTTGAACCCATTGCCTCCTGGTTCAGAGGTAGGGACACTACCACTGTGCCACAAACACCCCTGAAGTCTGGCTTAAAAAGTTTTCAAAATTCACAGCACCTGTATAGCTACATGAATCCTGTGATTAGAAACATTGCTTAAAATATAATTATGCTATAATAGTATTCATTATGCTACTGGGAAATAAATTTGACATCCACAAAAATATTAGTGAGAATGCAATACACAATTAACTAATGCCTGTTGATAGCAATATGTAAACAAGTCAAATCTGTGTGACCTGTTTAACACCATTTTGGCTAAACTATCCAACAGCTGACTGGCTGAATGCATCAATAGAAGGCCAATGATGTGGAATGGTTGGCACCATTCAAAGCTAGCTTTCACCACTGAAAAAGGAAATGCATTATAACTGCAGCAGGAACTGCGAATTGTGCAAGAGTTTACTTTGACCTGGGAAGCATTCAGGCATGATGCAGCTGGGAGACAGCTGGCAAACTGTTCAGACACTGCACAGGAGGACATGGAAAGGAATAGAGATGTCTTGTACCCACAGATGACAGGAGACCCTTCAGACATGTGAGCAAGAGGCAGTGGGATGCAATGGCAGAAGCCAAGCCTCCAGAACCTGGATGCAATGTAACAAGACTCTCAATGATCTCATGAGATGTCAAGATCAGTGAATGCATCTTCAAATGTCATATCTTATTAACTACACCACTAGTCTCAAACACTACTCAATTGACCACACCCCACCAGTCACCCAACAACAGTCTTTATAATTTAGGCCTCACACCTGACAGTTATTTGCTTTATAGAATCCTCACACACACACACAGCTCTGTTGTAAATTTCACACCCACATTTTATAGTTTGCACGCACCACCAGCTTTTAAACCTTGGAACCACGTCATCCAAACAGATTGCGCAATACTCACCGACATACTTTGCTCCCTCATGCAGGGTAGGTAGTGCAAACCAGAGGCCAAGGAGCTAACTTAATGAGGTAGGTACCTTATTTCTGCAAGCTCTTGCTGCAATGAAGAAGTCCATGCTAGCCATTATTGGGACAGCAATTGCTGAAACCAATCAACAATGGGTCTTTAAAGATTGAAGTTAATTATACCTTGAAGAGTTCTAAAGAAGGGTCACTGGACCCGAAATATTAAATCTGCCTTCTCTACACAGATGCTTCCAGATCTGCTGAGATTTTCCAGCAATTTCTGACTTTGTTTCTGATTTCCAGCATCCACCCTTCTCTGTAATTTTAAATTATACATTACCCTACATACCCTATAAATACAATTAAAACTCCTCCTCAAATCCAACTTCCACATCAACCCACATTCTCTTCTGATTTACAAATTGTGGGCAAAGTAAGCATACAGCTTTTATTACCCCATCTCCTCACAACTTTCTCTTACCATTGTAAATTTCTCCTTCTAAATTTCAAGAAGTGCAAGCCAGGCAGTGGAATAACAGAAGGAACAGAGATGGTGAAGATGCAGGGTCACTAGATTCAACAGTTGCAACCCTCAGCTCAAATCACACATAATTTAGAGAGGGACAAAGGGATAGGATCTGCACATGAGACACTGTATAGCTTAAGGCAAGAGATTAGGACAGCACAGTTTCTCTGCTCCTATGATGCTGCTTGGCCTGCTGTGTTCATCCAGCCCTGCACCTTGTTGTCTAGGACAGCACAGTTGTCAGCTATCTGGGTGGTTGACAGCTCACAGGTTCTGTTGTGAAAATATTTATATTTCTGTTATATCTTCATGATCATAAGACATCCTAAAGCATTCTACAGCCAGTGAATAGTTATGAAGCATAGTCAATTTTGTAATAAAGGCAACCAATTTGTGCACTGCAAGTTCTTATAAGCAGAATGTTATTATGGCCAGACAATCTGTTTTTGTGATGTTGATTGAAGAATAAATATTGGTCAGGACTCTGGAGATAACTGAAGTAAAAACTGAAAATACTGGAAATACTCAGCAGGTATGGCAGTATCTGTGGAAAGAGTTAACATTTTCAGTTTGATGATCAGTTCTGATGAAAAATCATTGACCTGAAAGATTAACTTTGTTTCACTTTCCACGGGTATTTCCAGACCTGTATTCCTGTTTTTACTTTACATTTCCAGAAACCATGATATTTTACTGTTTCAACATGGAGAATTCAGTTGATCTTCCTCAATATATTGCTCTGGGATCTTATAATCTCAACTGGGGGCACAGAAGTTCTCAGTTTAATATCTCATTTCACATATGACCCCTCTAGCAGTGCATTAGAAATGTCACCCTAGATATCTATCTTCAATTTCAGGAGTGGAATTAAACTCAACTTTCTGACTCAGAAATGAAAGTGCTACCATCTGGGTCATGATAGACACTGCACCTCGACCACAGCTGATATGTGATGCATACTTAATGCAGTGGAAACTCAGTTGAAACCATTAAATATCAGCGTCTCACCATGCAAACTCACGTTCCTATCATGAGGACTGCTGCATGCAAAGAAGGGGCTTGCAGGCTGCCACAGTTGTCCAGCATTCCGTCCTTCAATAGACTACCTGGATGACCAAAGAACCGTCATGGGAGAAAGGGCAGTAGCTCTACTGAACTCAAATTTGCTATCATCTCAGGAAGACAGCATTGACCCTCTCACCCCTGCCACTCCACCAGTGCCCTCCCTATTGATTGACAGCAAGTTAGTATAGACTGCTGCCACCAGTGCTGTGTTGTAGTCCATAGCCAGGACTTCTAGGCCTAGAGTTGCTCATCAAATCAGGCAGATGGGACTAGTTTAGTTTGCGAAACTTGGTCGGCATGGACAAGTTAGATCAAAGGGTCTGTTTCTGTGCTATATGACTATGATTCTATCAACCTGTCGTATCCAAATCAAATGGGCTCAATCTAATTATTACATTATATTGAAGATTTAGACATGTCTCCTCAAATCTAGCTTGTCCTGATGGTCCTTAACCTACTCATTAATCTGGATGGCCTTCCTTAGTTCAGGACCTACATATCACCCTCAATATGATAGGGCCAAAGCTGGACACTATATTCTAAATGTGGTCTGATGAAACAAGGAAGGAGTAGCATTTCTTTTTTAGACATAATTATGCTGGCACTATATTATAATACCCTATTTAATTCCACAAGAGCTTCACTGGTCCTAAATTGCTAATTACGCTTTCATTATAACCCCAAATTCTTCCTTTATTAAGCAACTTGAGCATTCATTTCTGCATGGTGCATACATGCAGTTATCGCTATGCAAGTGTACGACACAACATTTCTCTATATTAAAATGTATTTGACAGACACGGACCCACTTGTCAACTTCGCATGATTGGTTCAGTACTTTTTATTTGCAAGGTCAGATATTCCAAATCTAGGGGTGTCCCAACCTTCATTTTGTATTATAAAAAATCATAAATGTACTAGAGTTATCGTAACATTACATTTTAAAAAGATGTTGAGAATTTCAAATCTCTTACCTGCCAATATTTGTCTGTGCTATTTCTTCAGTCATTTTTTGTTTACTGTCAAACAAGATGTCATTACATCAAACTTTCCTAAGTTTCTATCATATTGGATGCCTTATGAATCCACCATCTAATTAAAGAACGAGTGTCTTATTACACCTACAATTTAAAACAATACAATAGGTACAATATGCCAATCATTATTTGGCATTAAATATAGCACAAATATTCAAGAGTTCTTAATTCAATTTGTTCCTATTGATAATTATCACTAGATTTTACACAAATCTTAATCAATTCTGGTTGCTTTTGCCACATTTTAAAAGAATATTTGACCAAAGATAATTCAATTTTATTGGTAAGCTTAGTATAATATACTTTAAATACAAAAAGTGTTTCATCTGACTGATTATGAACATAATTCTGAGATTTCTGCCATCAAAGAATATATAGCAACAATCATAAATGAAGAAAAATTATTGGACTCATAGAAAATAGGGGCGGGGTAGGCCATTTGACCCTTCAAGTTTGCTGCACCATTATGATCATGGCTGATCATCCTGAGACTGTGGCACTGATTCTGGACTCCACCACTAACAGGAACATTCTTCCTACATTTACTCTGTCTAGTCCTGGTATAATTTTATAGGTTTCTATGAAATCCCCCTCATTCTTCTGAAATCCAGCAAATATAATCCTAACCAATTCAACACCTCCTCAGTCCTGCCATTCCAGGAATCAGTATGGTAAATGTTCACTGCATGTTCACTCCTGTATAACAAGAACAACTTCCCCAGATAAGAAGACCAAAACTGCATAGAACATTTCAGATGTGGCCTCCCCATGGCCCTGATAATTGCAGCGAGACATTCTGCTCCTTCATTCAAGTCCTTTTGCAATGAAGGCCAACATATCATTTGCTTTCTTTACCACCTGCTGCACCTGCACGCTAACCTTCAGCAACTGGTGTACGAGGGCACCCAGGTCTCGTTGCACATTCTCCTCTCTCAATTTATAGTAATTAAAATAATAATCTGCCTTCCTGTTTTTGTTACCGTAGTAGATAATCTCATATTTATCCACCTTAGACTGCATCTGCCATGCATTTGCCCACTTACTCAGCTTGTCCAAATCACCCTGAAACATCTCTGCATGCTCCTCACAGCTCACCTTCCCACCCAGCTTTGTGTCATCTGCAAATCTGGAGATAATATCTTGAGTTCCCTCGTCTAAATCATTCAAGCATTGATCCCTGTGGCATCCCACCAATGACTTTCTGCCATTTGGAAAAACTCTTGTTTATTCCAACTCCTCCTTTCCTATCTGCTAACCAGTTTTCTATCTATCTTAATAGACTACCCACAATCCTATGCGCTTTAATATTACATGTTAATATTTATTCTTTGACTTTGTCAAATGCCGTCAGAAAAACCTTGTTCATGGCTCATCCTCATCAACTCTTCTACAGTTACATTTCTAAGAATTCCAGTAGATTTGTCAACATGGCTTCCCTTTTATAAATCTATGCTGACTCTGTTGGATCCTACCACTATTTTCCAACTGCTCTGCTTTAAATCTTTTAGCATGGACTCTAGCATCTTCCTGATTACCAACTTCAGGCTGACTTGTCTATAATTTCCGATTTCTTTTCTACCTCCCTTTTTAAAAAGATCAGATTCAATACTGTCCAATCTGTAGGAACTGTTCTACAGTTCATAGAATCTTGGAAGATGACCACCAATATGTCCACTACTTCTAGGGTCACTTCCTTAAATACTTGGGATGTAAATTAACTGGCCTTGGGCATTTATCAGCCTTCAATCCCATCAATTTCCCCAACACCATTTCCCTACTAATACTGATTTCCTTCAGTTCCTCCCTCTCATTAAACACTGGGTTCCCAATATTTCTCATATGTTATTTGGGTCTTCCTTTGTGAACACAGAACCAAAGTATGTATTTAGTTGGTCAGCCATTTCTTTGTGCCTCGTTATAAATTCTCCTGTTCCTGAGCATGAGGGGTCTACACTTGTCTTCATATACCTACACAAATGTTTACAGTCAGTGTTTATTTTCCCTGCAAGCTTTCTCTCGTACTGTATCTTCCCTTTCTTAATCAATCCTGTTGTCCTTCTTTGCTGAAGACTAAACTGCTTCCATTCTTCTGGTTTATTGTTTTTTTTTAAATAGCCCATTTGTATGCCTCATGGATCTAATACTATCTCTAATTTTCTTGGTAAAACATGGTTTAGCCACCTTTTCCGTTTCACTTTTGTGCCAGACAGGAATGAGCAATTGCTGCAGTTCACCCATACACTCTTTGAATATTTGTCATTGCCTTTCCATCATCATCCCCTTAAATAATGTTCCTCAATCTATCATAGCAAAATCATGCCTCATACCATCGCAGTTTCATATATTTCGATCCAGGACCTTAGTCTTGCACTCAACTTCATCATTCTCCTTGATGAGAAATTTTATCATAATATGGTTGTTCATTCCCAACGGGCTCAGCACAACTAAATTGCCAATTATTTCTTTCTCAATACACAATACCCAGTCTAGGATGCCCTGTTCTCTAGTTGGTTTCTCAACGTATTGGTCCAGAAAACCATTCCACGTATACTCCAGGAATTCTTCCTCTATGGTATTGTTACTAATTCAATTTTCCCAATCTATATGGAGAATAAAGACACCTGTAATTAAGGATGTTCCTTTATTGCATGTGCTCTAGTTTCCTGTTTAATGCCATTCTCAATATCATCCCTACAGTTTGGGGATTGAAATACAGCCCCCCTCACTAAATTTTTGCCCTTGGTGTTCCTCAGTTCTGCCGATACAGATTCCACATCATTGGAGCCAATTTCCTTCCTCATTATTGTATTAATTTCTCTTTAACCAGCAATGCAACTCCACTATCTTTTCCTCTTTGTCTGTCCTTCCTAAATATTGGATACACCTGGATGCTCAGCTCCCATCCCTCTGTCACCTCATAGCCACATCTCTGTAATCTTGACTATATTATACCTGTTTTCTTCTACTTGCATGATTAATTCATCTACTTTATTACAAATTCTCCACACATTAAGGCACAAAGCCTTAAGGCTTATCTTTTTAAGATGACTAGTCCCGTTCCCATTACTTTTCACTGTTGCCCTGTTTGATGTGGCCCCTTGATCTCTCTGCCTATCACTTTTCTTATTCCCTTTTGTCTTTTGTTCTTATCCTTAATTGTCCTTCCTCTAACAGCTTGCATAGATTTCCATTCCCCTGCCATTTGAATTTAAAACACCCCTCAACCACTCAAGCACATACTTCCCCTGGGGCACTGGTCATGGTCCTGCCCACCTAGAACACATTCAGTTCTGGGGCTCCAGTTCCCCAGAACCGGTCCCAACGCCCAAGAATCTGAAACTATGCCCTCTTACACCACCTCTTCAACCAAATATTGATCTGATACATCCTGTTATGTCTACTCTGACTAGCACATTTGTAATCCTGGGATCACTACTTTTAAGATCCTGTTTTCAACTTACTTCCTAATGTTCTGCTTTTAGAACCACATGGAAGGTCCTTGGCACTAATCTGGTTTCCTCAGAGTGAGCAGACTCTCTGACACTCTTGTTTATATCTGTCAGCCAGAGCTCCCTGATTGGGTCTGTTAATCTGGTCCAATCAGAAAACTCATATTCTGTGAGGTCCACCTGGCTGACATAGTTACAATCACTATAATATCATTCCAAGTTTAATTAAACTCTCTTCCAACAGGAGCACTCACTGGAGGCAGAATACATCACAAAATCTGCAGGCCTGTATGCTGCAGTGAAGACATGTCACATTTTGCAGCTTAGAACCAGGCCACTGTGAATAGATTTCGGACCTCAGTTTATCTACAGTGCCCTAAAACTGTAGCTGTTCTCTGTTTAAAGAAAAATACTCAATGTGTACATTATGTACTAGTGCCTTTTCTAAAAATATTGCTTTATAGTTCTATGTGTCAATTTCTCCCCTCTCCTTATGTCATCTAAATTCGAAACATCAGCTTGCTCTTTCCATGAATACTGCCTGACCAACTGTGATTTCCAGCATTTTTTTGTTTTCAGCTCCCATCCTTACTTGTTTAAACTCAGCCTAATCCAATCAGGTGTAATAGTTTATATATTGACTATTGGTATGTCCATTAAGCAATGTAATCCATAGTTGTTGGTTCCAACGTACTCACTTATCACTTATTCAGTTTATCTACCTGATTTACTTAATTACAGCCAGATTTAAGACTAACTTTGCAAACCTTTCAACATACTGCTTGAGGAAGATGTCCTGTACACATTTCAGAAATTCTATTTCCTTTTCTGCTCCAGCCAATGTGAATAATTGAAAGTTCTCAGAATTTTTTTAAAATCCCTGCTCACAATTCTAAGCCAACCGTGGATTTCCTATTTCATTTTCATTCAAAAATTTGGAGATCTGAAGTGCACCTCTACTGATAATACGTTTTTTTAAAAAATAGAAGAGGGCACTGGATGATTATTTGGGAATATGCAGCGATATGGGTGGAAAGCAAGAGATTGGCACTCGGTAATAGAACCGGTGCAGGTACGATGGGTCGAATGGTTTACCTGGTGTCCATATTTGAAATTGTCGCGGTGCATCGTAAGGTACCACTGGTTACAAGCCACAGATGAAAATCCCAAATTAAGTCCATATAAAGGCAAAACAAGTCAAAATTCAAGTCAGAAGCAAAAGAGAATGAACGTCGATGCAAAAAAGATTCCTGCATCCTTTTAGAAATGCAACGTAGAACTCACGCATATTTCATATATTACCTGTCAAAATGACGTGAATAATTTTATCATATACCCAGCTTTTGCCACGGGTAAAGTGGTCTCCAGGTACTTACTATCAACGTCGTTAATCTGTGAGCAACTCCTTCAGAGTCAGCCTGAGTATCAGGTCGCTATGGTGACAGCGGAAGTGATATGTGGTCGCTATGGTTACCATGGAAGTGACAAAAGAACACAAGCCGTCGCCCTAGCAACAGTTGACAGGAGCCACTCTTCCCCTTTGTTCCAGCGTTTTGTGTTTCTCAAGAGGTTGTATTTCCACATCTGGTAATCGTGTAGTAATTTGTGGGTTTGAAGAATAACTTCTGGTTATGCTTTATGTTGAACCAGGCAAATTGTACGAATCCCAAAAGCAAATTACGGCGTTTGATTGAAATCTGAAACAAAATAATAAACGCTGCAAATACTCGAGCAGCTCAGGCAGCATCACTGAAGAGAAGCATTTTTGCTTATCAACGTTATCGAACTGAGATTCCAGGAGCTAGTGTTTTTATATTTCTCTAATCAACCTATTCAGAAATGTTATTACACATCTCTGGAGCAGATGGGATTGAAGCTGGATCTCCTGGCTCAGGGTAGGGACACTACCACTACACCACAAGAACCCTTCAGAGTTTGAGTTTTGATGATAAGATTATCAAAATAGAGCAAATGCTAAAGGTTATCATGCAGAATCTGTTATATTTCAATCCAAAAACATTGGGTTAAAATTGTTTCCATATCAACAATGCAAAATTAACAGTTGTAAATAACCCATTGCAATTGTGTGGTTTTGCAAAACATAATTACAGGCGGATAGAAGATGGATAAAGGAGAAGTTAAGTGAAGAGGAGACAGACAAATTTCAATAGACATATTTCACTTGGGAACCCTGCAGCCCAATGGTATCAATGTGGACTTCACAAGCTTCAAAATCTCCCCTCCCCCGACCGCATCCCAAAACCAGCCCAGCTCGTACCCACCTCCCTAACCTGTCCTCCCATCTATTCACTCCTCCCACCTCAAGCCCCACTCCAATCTCCTACCTTCGAGCGTCATCCCGCCTCCTTGACCTGTCCGTCCTCCCTGGCTCGACCTATCCCCTCCCTAACTCACCACCTACACTCACTTTACTGGCTCCAACCGTGCATCCTTGACCCATCAGTCTCCTCTCCACCTATCTTCCCCTTTATCCATCATCTATCTGCTTCCCCCTCTCCCCCTTTTTTTTCAGAATCCCCTTCCCCTCCCCCATTTCTGAAGAAGGGTCTAGACCCGAAACATCAACTTTCCTGCTCCTCTGATGCTGCTTGGCCTGCTGTGTTCATCCAGTTCTACACCTCGTTATCCTAGTGTTAAGGGCTTGGGTGGAGATGAATTTGTTAAGTATGCACAAAAAATTTCCTTATTCAATATGTGAATGTATCTACTAAAGAAGGAGCAAAACTTGGGAAATAAGGCAGAGCAAATCATTGAGGTGACAGTGGAGGATCACTTTGAGGCTAGTGTTCATAATTCTGTTAGTTTTAAAATAGTTATGGAAGTTAAAGGTCTAAATTGGGACAAAGCCAATTTTGAATGTATTAGGCAAGAACTTTCTAAAGTTGATTGGACAAGGCCATTTGCAGGTAAAGGGATGGTTACAAAGTGGGAGGTCTTAAAAAATGAAATAACGAGAGTTCAGACACAGTATGTTCTTGTTAGTGCAAAGGGCAAGCTGGTAGGGTAGGGAATACTGGATGACTAGAAAAATTGAGGCTCTGGTCAAGATAAAGGTGGCAGCATATGTCAGATGTAGACAGCTGGGATCAAGTGAATCCCTAGAGGAGAATAAGGGCAGTAGGAGTACACTTAAGAGGGAAATCAGGAAGGTAGAAAGGGGACATGAGATAGCTTTGGCAAATACAGTTAAGAAGAATCCAAAGAGATTCTACAAATATATTAAGGGCAAATGAGTAATGAGGGAGAGAATAAAGATCAACAAAGCCGTCTATGTGTGGAACCATGGAGATGGGTAAGATACTAAATGAGTATTTCACATCAGTTTTTACTGTGAAGAAGGATATGGAAGCTAAAGAATTTGGGGAAATCAACAATGATATCTTGAAAAGTGTCCAGAAGAAGAGGTGCTAGATGTCCTAAAATGCATAAAGGTGGCTAAATCCTTGGGACCTAATCAGGTGTATCCCAGAACTTTGTCGGAAGTTAGGGAAGAGATTGCTGAACCCCTTCCTGAAATGTTTGTATCATCAGTAGCCATGGGTGAGGTGCCGGAAGACTGGAGATTGGCTAATGTGGTGCCATTATTTAAGAAATTGGTAAGGAAAAGCCAGGGAATTATAGACCATTGAGCCTGATGTCAGTGGTGGGTAAATTGTTGGAGGGGAGTCTGAGGGATAGGATCTACATACATTTGGAAAGGCAAGGACTGATTAGGGATAATCAACATGGCCTTGTATATGGGAAATCATGTCTCACTAACTTGATTGAGTTTTTTGAAGAAGAGACAAAGAAAATTGATGAAAGCAGAGTGGTAGACATTATCTATGTGGACTTTAGCAAAGCATTCAACAAGGTTTGCATGGTGGACTGGTTAGCAAGGTTAGATCACATGGAATCCAGGGAAGCTAACCAATTGGATACAAAATTACCTTGAAGGTAGGAGACAGTGGGTGGTGGTCGAAAGTTTTTTTGGTCTGGAGGTCTGTGACCAGTGTTGTGCCTCAAGGGATCTGTGCTGGATCCACTGCTTTTCGTCATTTAAATAAATGATTTGTATGTGAATGTAGGAGGTATGGTTAGTAAGATTGTAGATGACACCAAAATTGTTGGTGTAGTAGACAGTGAAGAAGGTCATCTCAGAGAACAATGGGACCTTCATCAGATGAGCCAATGGGCCGACGTGTGGCAGATGGAGTTTAATTTAGATAAATATGAGGTGTTGCATTTTGGCAAGGTAAATCAGCGCAGGACTTACGCAGTTAAAGGTTGGGTCCTGGGGAGTGTTGCCAAACAAAGAGACCTAGAGATGCAGGTGCATATTTCCTTGTAAGTGAACTCACAGGTAGACAGAGTGATGAAGAAGGTCTGTGGTACGCTTGCCTTCATTAGTCAGTGCATTGAATACAGGAGTTGGGAGGTCATGTTGCAGCTATACAGGACTTTGGTTAGGCCACTTTTAGACTACTGCGTTCAAGTCTTCCTGCTATAGGAAATATGTTGTTAAACTTGAGAACGTTGAGAAAAGATTTACAAGAACGTTGCCAGGTTTGGAGGCTTTGAGCTAAAGGAAAAAGCTGAATAGTTTGCGGCTTTATTCCGTGGAGTGTAGGAAGCTGAGGGGTGACCTTATAGAGGTTTATAAAATCATGAGGAGCATGGATAGGGTGAATAGCCTTTTTTCCAGGATAGGGGAATGCAAAACCAGAGGGCATAGGTTTAAGATGAGAGTGGAAAGATTTAAAAGGGACCTTGGGGCAACCTTTTCATGCAGAGGGTGGTGTGTATATAGAAAAAGCTGCTAGAGGAAGTGGTACAGGCGAGTACAATTACAACATTTAAAAGACATTTGGATAGGTACATGGATAGGAAAGGATTAGAGGGATATGGGCCAATCGCAGGCAAATGGGACTAGTTCAGTTTAGGAAACTGGGTCAGCATGCATGAGTTTTGCTGAAGGGCCTGTTTTCCTGTTGTATGACTGTATGACTATATAAGTTAGTTTGTATGTAGCACCCAAATACAGCAACATCGCAGCATTCAATGCGTTTCAATGTTGAAACAAACAGCCAGGTGCAGTTTTGAAAAGCTAATACCAGAATGGTGTATTTCAGACACTAAATTTGGATATTAGCATTTAACATGCATCTGTCCCTTGTCTGGAGTTTCTGTAACATTTGTGCATCATCAACAGTGCGCACCATGAAATCAAAATTGAACCCAGTGCTGAATGCAACTTTGTGAATGTTTATTTTTCAAAGTCAAACAGCAACACTACCTTGAAATCTAAGCTTCCTTTACAAATTACAGCCAACAGAATGTTACCATCTCTCAAAAAAGGTAAAATTCTACAGCTACTGATGATCTGAATAAAAACAAAAAGTACAGAAACTCAGTGGGTCTGGCAACATCCGAGGAGAGAGAAACCAAGTTAACGTTTCAAGTCCCAATATGACTCACCTTTGAAGAAGTCATATTGGACTTGAAACATTAACTTTGTTTCTCTGTTTCAGACCTATAGAACTTCCTCTGGAAGTTTCTGTTTTTATTTCAAAATGTTATCCTAAAACTATGACCTCTCATTCTAGACTATCCCACATGAGGAAATATTCTTTCTAGGTCTACTTTGTCAATCCACATTAGCACCATATATACCTCAAATAGATCTCCTTTCATTCTTCTAAAGTCTACAGAGTATAGGCCTAAACTGCTTAATTTCTCTTCATGAAACAAACCCCACATTTCTGGAATCAATCTAGTAAACCTCCTCTGAACCGTCTCCAATGCAACCACATTCCTCCTCAAAGAGACCTAGAGGTGCAAGTGCACAGTTCCTTGAAAGTGGAGTTGCAGGTAGACAGGGTGGTGAAGAAGGCAACTGGCATGCATGCCTTCATTGGTCAGAACATTGAATAAAGGAGTTGGGATGTCGTGTTGTGGCTGTACAGGACATTGGTGAGGTTACTTTTAAAATACTGCGTTAAATTCTGGTCACCCTTCTATAGGAAGGATATTGTTAAACTTGAGGGGGTGCAGAAAAGATTTACAAGGATATTTCTGGAACTGAAGGGTTTGAGCTATAGGGAGAGGCTGAATAGGCTGGGGCTTTTCTCCCTGGTGTATTGGAGACTGAGGAGTGACCTTATAGAGGTTTATAAAATTATGAGTTGCATGGATTGGGTGAATAGCCAAGGTTTTTTCCCTAGGATGAGGGAGTGAAAAACTACAGGGCATAGGTTTAAGGAACAGAGGAAAAAATTTTTAAAAGGACCTGAGGGGCAACTTTTTTATGCAGATTGTGGTGCGTATATGGAGCAAGCTGCCAGAGGAAGTGGTGGAGGCGAGTGCAATTACAACATTTAAAAGGCATTTGGATGGGTA